GACTGCCAGGTAGGGGAGCGCGGGAAGTCTTCTTGGGCGGTGTCTTCGGTCGAAGAGGACTCTTCGTAGCGCTCTTGGGCGGTGTTTTCGGCACCTTGACCTCGGGCTCCTTCCGCACAGGCGTGGCAAGCTCGTTCACTGCTCGGCCCGGTCTGCGGCCATAGGCCGAGGTCCTGCCGCTACAAGGCTAAACTTACGGACCCTCATTTTCTCGTGACTGCCTACGACCTAGTCTCTGATGCGGGTAGACTCTCCTGAGCAAAAATTTTACCACTATATAGAGGCTCTCGCGCGTGACGTCTCTCATGAAGCTTTACACTGTGGACACCTACTCCCTCATGCATGCCTACGAACTAGTCTCTCATGCGCCTAGACTCTTTTGAGCATTAAGTTTACCCAGAGGCTCTCGTGCGTGAAGTCTCTCATGAGGCTTTACACTGTGGACACCTACTCCCTCACGAAGGCCTACGACCTAGTCTCGCATGCGCCTATACTCTCCGGAGCAAAAACTTTACCAACAGGCTCTCGTGCGCGAAGTCTCTCATGAGGCTTAACACTGCGGAAAGCTACTCTCTCGGGAGTCTAGGAAAGCCCTTGAGCCTACATCCTCTCATGTACCCGTGGCAAAAAAAAATTACAAACCTAGTACTCTCATGAAACTAGAAGAGTACTAAGAGCTCCGGAAGCTACATCTCTCTTGCGTACCTAGCAACCCTACGCAGGCAGCGTCCTCCAGCAGCTTTGGCAGGCGCCGCGGTGTCTGGCTGTGCCTGTGCGGGCGCTCCGCCTCCACGCAGCTGCCGGGCGTCCCAACCAAGGCCCTGCAGCACTTGCACCGCCATGTCCCGCTGGAGCGTGTTGGAGAAGGCGAGGAACGCGGCGCTGGTCTCTTGTAGGCCTCTGTGTCTCAGCGACAGGTCGCCCAGCCCCACCAAGTTGGGGAGCTGCTGTACCAGCGCCATCTTCGGCATGGCGGGCGGCAGCCCACCAAGCCAGAGCACGCAGGACCGGTCCCACGCAGCCATGGCTCCACAGCAGCTACAGCCTACCTGTCCTTCTTGTTGTTGTTGTTGTTGCTGCTGTTGCTCTTGTTGTTGTCGTTGTTGTTCTTGCTGCTGTTGTTCTTGTTGTTGTTTTTCTGAGCTGCGTGCTAGCTTACAAAGGAGTAAACCAGAGGCTAGCTACCCCAACTCACGTGCGGTCCTTGACTGGACTACTCTACCTCCTGAGCAGAGTCCTTGCGGAAGCGCAAGAAGCTCACGCCAGAGCAGAGTCAGAAGTGCGCTACAAGCTGGCTACAACCAATCCCTTGCAACGCAAAAGAGTACCTGACAGTGTTTTACATCTCTAAGCTTTGTCCAGCTGCGAGCTACGCTCTGTGCTAGAAAGTGCTCTCTAAGAGTCGTCCAGCCGTGAGCTAGGCTTTGGGCTGGAAAGCAGAACCTGCACAGAATTCCGTCTCAAGCAAGGCCAGCTCAGTCGTCCTGGGTGTCAGCCTTGCGCTTGCATGGCCTGCTGGCTTGAGACTCCTGGCCACCATGGAAAGGCGCGGCGTCATGTCGTCTGTCAGCGTTTTCTCGAACGAGTTCAAGGCTGCGCCACATGGAGTGCCACATCTGCTTCCAGCCTTCGGACGTGTGCAACCAGTACCATCTACGGGATTGGTTTTCGGAAGCGTCCTCCATGGTGCTATGTGCTTGGGCCAGGCTACATGAAGAACAAAGAGGTCCCTTGTCTCGCACGTAGCTATAAAAAGCACAAGAGTGCTTAGGGCAAGAAATGCAGACATGAGACGCTACATTTTTCCACCACTCGCTAGGCAGAGCAGCCCTGCGTCCAGTTCATGAGGCACGAGCTTCAGTCAGCGTCGTCGGAGGATGACGCTGCCGGCATATTTCCATTGTGCTCTGCCAGGACCCGTTGCACGCCCAGGAGTCTGCGATGCAGCTGGTCCACACGCTCCTGTGAGAATCACACGCCAATGTGAATCATGGCAGCACAAGCGTGAAGTCTCTGGGCTTCAGGGTGTAGGGTCTACAGTGAAGGGTTCAGGGTTTGCGAGTCCTCCAGCTCATGAAACCTCTGCAGAAGCGCCTGGGTAAGCTCCGCGTAGCACAAGAGCAGGAGACGAGTCTGGCCTGTAGGCTGGTCAGGCCCTCCTTCCTCCCTCAGAAGCATCTCGTACAGCTGCTGTGAGCGGGAGCGAATGCGATCAGCCATAGCTGGGTCAAGGGGAGTCTGCCACGCATCCGAGCCTTTCAAGCGGCTGTGAGCACGATGCCGAGTTACTTGCAGGGTGAAACTTACAAGAAAGCACGTACGTCAGGCAGCATTTTGCTTGTGGATGCTGCCATCTGGGTGTGGCAGACGCCGAGCCGAAGTAGCCCGCGCATGTCATCCTTCTGAACCTTATAACGGCCCAATAGTAAGCCCCGGGATAATAAACAGCCGCAGCTGAAAGACATTGCAGGAAAAGAACGTGCAGTCCCCCAAGTGGATTCATGTTGAAACGGCCCCTTGCGCCAGATAGAATCCCAGCCTCGAGGCACACATGTGACGCAAACCACATGCTTGGTTGTGGACTTGGATGAAAATAGCCTTCATGAGAAATCAAAAAGAATGAACTACATCCCCCTCATGAAACTCTTGAAGATTTTTTCTCTCTCGCAAGCTCTGCCAACGTGACCCACGTGTCTCCCTCAAGAAAGTGATGAATTTGTGAAGCCTCTCCAGAGCCTAACCTACATCGCTCACGCGTCACCCTCGACGACTTAATATTTTTGCAGCCTCTCAGGAATTATATACGAGCGGTGGCAAAATGAGCTTATATACTCCTGAAACACGACGAGCTCTCGTGCGACCTCAGACAACTTAGCTGGCCTTCAGTTGGAGTCCCACTCCTGGAGCGCCGCGCGATGAGCCTGGCGGGCCGCGCGGTAAGCCATCTCCGGGGTGCTGCCAGCAGCCAGTGCTTCGTTCTTGGCCTGGCATTCGCCCGTCATATCCACGAAGAAGGTCAAGATAGCCCGACAGGCAGGTCACGCGCCTGGTGGTACTTGCGGGAAGCAAAGTTTTTCCGCTGGCGGCGCTTCTCCTCCTGGGACTCCACTTTGTTCTTGCGTCCTGTCTTCTTGACAGCTGGGGCAGGCTTGGCAGGCTGCAGCTTGCGGGCAGCGGCTGGGTTCTTAGCGACTGTCAGGGGCTTAGGCTTGGGCTTGGTACTCTGCTGCACGCTGGGCGGCTTGGCCGTCGCGGCCGCAGTTGCTTTGGCCGCACCTGCCGTACTTCTGCCAGAGCGTTGCTTCTTGAGTGCACGCTTGGTCGCCGCGTCAAGCGGGTCCACGTCCAGGGCCAGCTGCAAAGCCTCCCGCTCTCGGAACGACAAGCCCTTCTGGCTGGAACAGGAAGCCAAGGAAGAGTTGTGTGCCAGGCGCGCAGGAGGCCGCGCGAAGGAAGCTTCTGGATCGCAGCCAAAAAGCTGGTCGAAAGTCACTAGGCGCCTGAAGCTGCAGCTAGCAGGCTGCAGCTGGAGCGTAGCAGTGTCCGAACTGGTGGCTGGCGGCAAAACCATTTCTGCCGGCAGCGCAGGCTCAGGACTCGCGGCTTGAAAGGGCACCAGGGCTTGCTGATGATCCAACTCAGCTGGCTTGGTAACAGTGGCAGCAGGGTCACTGGACTTGGTGAGGTTGCTACTCGTCAAGGCCAGCAGACGGTTCAGTGCTCCAAGTTCTTCTACTGTGCACCTCCGAGACACTGCAGCG